GCTGTGCGTGTGGGTTTTCCTCCGGGCAATGTTTTTCAACCTCCCAACGTGAGACGCTCGAGGAAAGATGCCTGCCCGCACGGATCTCTCTCTGAGCGGGCGAGACTCGCGCCGCAAGGTGTGGCTGCTTGCCCGGCTGGGTAAATGTCGACACATTGTACAAATCCATTTCTGGAAGTGATGCCATATGGGAACAAACATTGAAATCGACATTCCTCATTTATTTGGCCAGCAAAATGAGCTATTATAATATATTTTGCTTGCCTTCCACAATAAGCGTGATGTAATTAAACAAAAGTATTGTAAATAGACGTCCTCAGTGGCCATCCTTTTACGCTTGCACCTCGACGCGTTTGAATTCAAATTAAACGTATTTTTTTTCCCGTGCGACTTCGCAACATGAACAAATAATGACCGCGCATTAAATGTTACGCTTGCCGCTTCTCCGCGGAAGATTACACCAAAAAAGGCTGGGATCGCTCGCGACGTTCATCCGGCGTTTTATTTTTTTGCGCTCGCCCGGCCGGCTGCTCTTGCGACGCGGTTTGCCATCCGCGGCGACGGGCGCGCAACGCGGCGTCCCTTATTTTTTTAGTTGTTCACGCGTCGGCTGTGCAAATCCCACCGAGAAGGATGAACGACCCTTTTCACCTCGCTCGCTCGCTCGCCTGCCCCCCTACCCCCGCTCCGTGACCCCACACCCCGCCTGATCACCAACCTTGCCCCGTATTACCCCCAGCACGGTTCTTTGTTGTAAATAAAGGGGGAGAGAGATGAAAAAAAAATCCATTTGCAAAGTGAAAATTCTGGGCCGTCGTTTGTGGTCAAGCGGCGGTTGTTCGGCTGAGCACGGCAACGGGCGCGACGCGTCCGCAGTGGTTGGGGGGGAGGGCGGCTTGCCGAGACGGTCGCTGGGAGCGGCACCCAGCAGAGGTTTGGGCGACCGACGGCGAAGAGGACCGAAAGCCACAGAGGTGGTTGAGGCCGGTGTAGGCGAGACTGTAAGAGAACGTCCCTTGAAGGATGGGGGGGGGGGGGAAGACCTAACCGCCAGAAGGGAGCAATGGCGAGATGTGCTGGCATCAGTGGCATGTGACGACCCTCCTGACATCTTGACTTGCAAGTTGAAGGATGGGATTGAAATCCCGGCTGGGTGGGGCAACATCGTAACACCACTACACTCCCCCACTCCCGTATTTTGGGTTTGCCCACACCCATAGGACGCTCTCGCGTCGCGGTGCTGCCGGTGATCGTGACTCAACCACCGTGACAGCCGTAGGAGAGAGACGTGCCAGAGGACGGTTTACTGTGGAGATGGAGCGACGGGCCCAGGCCCTGGGTGGATTTGCGTTGCAAGACAATTGGCGTTTTATCGATACCGTATTCACCAGAGAAAAACTATGTGGGTGCCATATTGATGAAGCTGAGGACTTCAGGACCATACCCCCCACGCATGGCTGAAGAGACAAAGTGATGAACGGCGTTCAGAAGCCGCGCCTGGGCCACTTGTGGAAGGGGCCCAGCCGAGGGTCCTGCCCCGAACAAAGTCTCCGTGCACCCTGCGGGGATGCCGTGTGCATGGGTAGTCATGGAAATCCACGCGGTTCATTGCTCAACGGATCACAGCATAACTGGGTATACACACACATCGACATGTACTGCTCTCAAAGATGCCCCCATATAGCCATACAGACATCTGTTTGCGGAGCACCTATTAAGGTCGACACGGCCGCCTTGGTCTTCCCAGTGTTGAATTTTTTTTCACACCGCACAAGGTACTCATTGAAGGCTGCGTCGACTTAGGGGAGGCCAGGACCGGTTCTAATTGGTCAGCTTGTTGGTCTTGAGCGGGAATCGAACTTGGGTCGCCGGGTTCATCGCGCAGTTGGACAAACATTTTGTCACCGCTTCATCGTGTGCAACAACAAGACAAATATCCCCCGTGTAGCCTGTAACAGACTGTAGGGGCAAGTGCTGTTAGCGAGCAGCACCTATGAAGGCCGGCACGGCACACGAAGGAGGTGGGCGATGTTTACACAACCGCACCAGGTACTCATTTTGAGGCCGAGTCGACCTAGGGGAGGCACACGCGCGTGTCACATATCTCATACATCGTTTATTCAATTTATTTTGACAGTGTAGACAAACGACTTACCTGGCACTAAAAAGTATTACACACGAAAATGCCTCCGAGCGGGGGGGGGAGGAATGCGTAAAAATCACCGAGATATCAAAACACCGTCTCGCCCCACTCCCTTGACCGCATTCGAAAGTAAAAAAAAAACCAAAGCGGAGGAAGGAGCGGAGCGGGAGGGCGTTGGGACCGTGGGTCGAGTGAGGTTTGTGACCCGACCAAATGATCTCGCCGGACGCACTCATCCCACAAACTGCGGAAATAAATTAACGAAAGCTGCGCTTAAATACTATACTCGACGGGGGTAGCTTCGTGCAGGGCGACCCATGCAGCGCTCCCGTCGCTGTTGCATATTTCGGTTTATAATAAAATAAAAACCTCCCAACTCTCATTCGCTTTTCGCTCCAGTCATCCTTGCGTGCTCGGAGGGAGCGGGGGGGGAGGCGATCACGATAACTGTCAAAAGTCGCCCGCGCTTCAACGCACGATCGCCAATGCTGCTACGCATCGGTAACCTGTCATTTTGTTTTGCTCGTTTTTTGATTTCGGAAGTACACGCCGACTTTTGCGGGGTTGAAGAGCGGGGGCGGCGGGGCGGGGGGTGATATATGTACAAAACTATGCGAGATTTTATTTTTGTTAAATTAAGGAGGAAACTTCTGGGAAAACAACTGTGATAACCGACAGGGCCTCAGCGTCCATTGCAGCGTTGGCTCTTCTTGTGAAACGCAGCACTGCAGCAGCGCCCCCATTCCGTCCATCGAAGCGGTACCCAATTTAACGGCCCCCCCGAGAGATGATTGTCACACGTGTTTCAATCAAGGGCCTCTCCAGGTGAGCGATTTTAAAACAAACCATGGGTTATCAGTTTTCCGCGGCTTACCCTAAACGTTTAATTTATTTAAACAAGCCTCTCACTTCTTACACTTTAACTTACGTTTTTTTTTTACATTTCTTCACCCCATTTTATATAATTTACACACACAATGCTACGTTGTAATTGTTTTTCTTGACTAGTTAGTGTCGAACTACATGATATATTTCACCACGCATAACAGACGGCCGCTCTCTCGAGGAGGGGTTTACCGACGCTTGCTCCCCCCCCCTCCGCCCTTCGACGCTCTTACAATCAGAATCTTATTTCACGGAAGTATTAGTGTGTTTGCTCGGCAAACGCGCCGTGCGACTGTTAAGCTCAAGCTCACGACGCAGCCGACTTACGGCCGCAACTCGTGCCACATCCTCCACGAAACACTCCACCGGAACTTAATTTTAGCACGTGTCGCTCCGTGAGTAATTCACGCTCACAGAGGGCCGTGGGTGGATATTCCCCCCCTCTCTCGCCTCGCTCTTCACCGCGCTCGATATATGGCGCGTAAACGTTTTAAATCGCCGCCGTAAACTTATTATTTTAAATATATTTCGGGTTAATGGATCGATTTGACGCCACGCACACTTCAAATCACTTCGCAAGGTCTCGAAGTCGCTGCGCGTCACGCCGTTTATATATATATATATTTTTGCACGCCTCTTGGGTTTTTTCAGATTGGCCATTTGCTGGTTTTCTCGGATCCTGCACCAACACCAACCTCCAGACACGCGTCCAGACACGCGACACGTGAAACACCCTCGCGCAGATTCACCCACGTCCCCCGTGAAACCATCCGGGGGGCGGGGGGGGCGGAGTGGCTTCGAGCCCTGAATTCCAATCAGACGGTCGCGCATTTCAAATCCCGATCTGGTTGGTGGCGGGGGTAAGGAGGGGGAGAGGGGGGTTCACAACTCATGGGGGGGGGCGCAGCTAGACCGAGCACCACCACCACCACCACCAAAACACCGCCACCATCACCACTTTTGCAGGAATTCAACAGTGGCCGGACTTGTGGAGAGGCCGGCTCCCGTCATAGGAATGTGGAGTTTCCAGCACTGCCGCTGGAGACGACGACGGCCGCCGCCGCCGGCGCAGCCGCCACTGCCACTGCCGGCCCCGTCGCTCGCGCGAGCGGCGAGGGCGGTCCGGCTCGACCTTAACTCCCCTGGAAGAGCGGACACATTCCTCCGTCAGCCCTTCTTCTTACATTTACAAGCACGTCGGGAGACGCTCACCACGACTGGGGCGCCGACGGGCTCGGGACCAATGCAACAACGCGACGACGCGCGCCTCTCTCTCGCTCTTGCGCTCTCTCACTCACTCACTCGCTCTCTCACTCGCTCTCTCACTCGCTCTCTCACTCGCTCTCTCACTCGCTCTCTCTCTCGCCTCTCTCACTCGCTCTCACTCGCTCTCTCACTCGCTCTCTCACTCGCTCTCTCTCTCTCGCTCTCTCTCGCTCTCTCAATCGCTCTCTCACTCGCTCTCTCGCTCTCTCGCTCACTCTCGCTCTCTCTCGCTCTCTCTCGCTCACTCTCTCGCGCTCTCTCTCGCTCTCTCTCCGCGCTCTCTCTCGCTCTCTCTCGCGCTCTCTCTCGCTCTCTCTCTCTCTCTCGCTCTCTCTCTCGCTCGCTCTCTCTCTCGCTCTCACGCGGCGCGGCACCCTGCAGGCGCCCCCGACAAGACTCGGACGACTCTGTTGCGTGGACCGCCCAGCGTCACAACGACGTCGGTGGTCGTACCGCCGTTGTCGCCGAGCGGACGGACCCCCCCCCCGATCGAGCCGGCGAGCGCAAATATCTTACGGGGGGTGGGAAGGGGGGGGAGGAAGCTCGAATCCACACCGCTGGAAGCGGCGGACGGCGGGCGTCAGCTTAACTCGGGAGCCGCGAGGCGGGCCAGCGGATGGAAGTACAGCAAGTAGGGGCTGGCGAAGGCTGTCTCTGAAACAGCAGGTTTTTGAGTGTTTTGGTCTTGCACGAGTAGACTTTTGTGTCCACCAGGGGGCAAGCCCGGTTTCCTCCCGCGCGAAACTAAAAGCAATCGGGAAACGGGCCAAACATCCCGGTGCAGGACTCTCCTGCAGAAACAAACACATTTTAAGACTCGGCGAGACGTTCGCGGCTAAACGAATGACCGACGAACGTCCCGATTTCATGTTGCTTTCAACAGCAGCACGGCAGTTGAATCAGCGAGGCAACTTTCTTGAATCCCCTCTGTCCACCCAGCATTAAAATTGGGTTCACCGCGGCCAATCGATGGGCCGGACGCGTGTGTGGTGGGGTAAAGTGTGGGCACTCCAACCTGTTCCAAGATATCTGGCCCGTATGGATGGAAGAGTAGACCAGAAAAAAAAAAACCCTTCCAGAGGGGCTCTAGTGGAAGCCCTTCCGGCAGCAGTGGCGTGCAGGGCTGCGCCTTTACCTTTACAATACACTTATTTTATTTCATGCAAACCGGATTAAAGGGCTCTCGCCTGGTTCACACAAAGCACCACTGGGGCCCTGCCTGACCACTGCTACTGGCGGTGCCACCAAAGACAAAGATCCCCCGTGCAGCCTTAACAGACTGTTGGGGCAAGTGATGTTAGCGAGCACCTACGAAGGCCGGCACGGCAGACGAGTTAGGTGGGCGATTAACACCACGCCCGGCCGCCTTTGTCTCCCCAGTGGCGATGTTTACACACAGCACCAGGTACTCATTTGAGTCCCAAATCGACGTAGGGGGAGGGGGCCCGGGACCGGTTCAGATAATCCTCGCCGACGTTGGCCGCGAGAGCGGGAATTCGAGCCGGAGCGCGCCACCCCGCTCCGCGTCGCCGCGACCCGCACACTCCTTAGTGGCGGTGGTGCCGCCGCCACCGCGCGATGGTGCCGCGTTACTCCACGCACGTCGGAGAGCTGTCCGCGTGCTGCGCGGGGGGCGGACTGCAGGGCTGGCTGGACGCCTCCTCGGTGGGGCTGTCCGATGACAGGGAGCACGCGTCCGATTTCATGACCCCGTTCTCAACTTCTGGAGGAAACAGCCGGGGGGGGCGCGGGGGTGACGTGCAGCGGTTCAAGCGCGGGCTCAGCCGTGTGCGCGCGCGCGTGTGTCCGCGTGTCGTCGGTCTTTCGAATGAGTAGCCGGTGCGGTGCGTAAACGTTGCCACTCGGGAGACAAAGGCGGCCGGGCGTGGTGCTGGCCACCCAACCCCCCCTCGTGTGCCGTGACGGCCTTCACAGGCGCTCGCTAACAGCACTTGCCCCAACAGACTGTTAAAGCTACACGGCCGATCTTTGTCTTTGTGTGTCTGTCCACCACCTGTATGGTTGTGTGCCCATCCATCTGTCTGTAAGTGTGTACGTATTGCAGTCCATCAGAGTCTGTCCACCAGTCCGTATGCCTGTCCACCCATCTGCGTTCGTGCCCATCCGTGTTCCCTTCCATCAATCTCGCCGCTCACTCTGCCGTTGATCAGGGCTGCACGTTCGTCCAACGTTCTCCGCTGTGCATCTGTCTCCGTCTGTGCCCGGGCACATCCATCTGCAGGACCACTCCATCATCCACTTATCTCTCTATCCGCTCACCACTTGCCTACTGCGCTGCTAGTCCCAATCTATCCAGCCACGTCCATGTGCATCCTGCGCCTGCCATCCGTCCGTCCAGCCGTCCACAGACAAAGAACAAAGATCCCCCCACCCCCGTGTAGCCTTAACAGACTGTAGGGGCAAGTGCTGTTAGCGAGCACCTATGAAGGTCGGCACGGCACACGAGGGGGTGGGTGGCCAACAACGCCCGACCGAATTTGTCTCCCCTGTGGCGATGTTTTTAGACACCGCACCAGGTACTCGTTTGAGGCTGAGTCGACCTAGGGGAGGCCCAGGATCGTTTCAGATAATCGTCACTGGTGTTGGCCGTGAGCGGGAATCGAACTCGTGTAGCCAGGTTCGTAGCGCAGCGTAGCGCTAACCGCTACACCACCGCTCCCTGCGCGCATTCCGTCCGTCCGCCGTCCACACACACACACGCGCACACACACACATACACACACACATACACACACACACACACGCGCACACACACACATACACACACACACATACACACACACACACATACACACACACACATACACACACACACATACACACACACACACATACACACACACACATTCACACACACACATACACACACACACATTCACACACACACATACACACACACGCGCGCGCACCGAGAGGTCGTCGCTGCGCATTGGCATCCCACCCATCGCCTGGATGCTGCCCCCCGTCCCCCCCCCCCCCGTCCATCTCTGGCTTAGCCTGTCCGCTCCTGAGAGTAAGATTCCACTTCCAGACGATCTTCTGGTACCCAAGCTCTCTCTCGACCCGCACGCCCCACACTTTGTCAAACCCCTCGAAACATTTTTCGCGCGGTGCTACCAACGCGGCAAAAGTCGCTTCTTCAACAGTGCCGCGCGAAAAAAACACCGTGCGATGCCCATTGCCGGGCAAACTTTCTGGGATGTTAATCGAGCAATTTTTGTCCCCCTTGTAGCGCTGACCTCGCCGGACAGACGTCGACGCGGGGAAATCCTCTCTCTCGATCGAAAAAAGGAAGACGATCGTCCCCGTTGGGCCCGACGTCCGTCGACGCGGGAGGGCGGGATGTGGCCTCGGCAGCGTCGGTTCGGACCGCGCCACCCGCAAACCGCCAGTGACCCAACTTACCGGTGAAGATGAGCTTCTCCTTCATTGTCTTGACGTCGCGGCTGTTCTTGCGCACGGACGTGCTCAGCATGATCTGCTCGGGGTTGTACACCGTCATGGAGCCCAGCCTCCACCTGCGGGGGAGGGGGGGGGCGAGGATGTCAGAGGTCAAGCTGGGGGCACCGCACGTTTCACAACGCGCCCGGGTTGTTCCGGGGCTTCACTTAGAAGTCGAGCGATCGTGCGATAGAGGTTTTGTTGAAAATTAATGGGGGTGGACCTGGAGCCACGTTGACAACCCCCACATCTACGGGGCGACTCATTTATAGATACTCCACGGATTTCTAATGACCCTTTAATAAAAAACTCAACTGAACAATTTTTTTATTTTACCAGGCAAGGCCCACTCAACTTTCCAGCTCTTTTTCTTCAGCGACCCAGCCACAAATGATAGCTCAACGAAGTGGCTTATTGGGTGGAAATGTATAGCATCCGAGAATCTAAAAGCGTGTTTCTAAATGTGGAGGAAAAAAATCAGGGGACCCGGAGAAAATCCACGCGACCACGGGGAGAGAGACAAACAAACTCCAAATATACGGCAGGTGTCCGGGCCAGAATTGAACCCACGACCTCCTGTATATCAGGTGAAGTAGTTAACATCTCCTCGCTACCGTTGCACGCCAATAATAACTTTGCTCTCAACATCCGAGTGAATACTGCGAGGACGATGGCTCCACGCACGTGCTAAGATTGTTGTGAGACGCGGAGAGGCCTTGAAACGAAATTTAGTTTTCGCTTTCATTTCCTCGCTAAAATTTGAGTGTCAATAATCAACACGTGGATTGCCCCCCCCCCCCCCGCCACTAAAAAAGGAATCAAAAAGTCAGAGCCAGTGGTGGAAATTCCACATTCCCATGGCAGGAGCAAACTCTTGCAAGAAGACAACCACTATTAACTTTCTCAGAGTGGGACACGGCATGCGTTATTAATTTCCTGCTATGTAGGTTATATATTTCTCATTGTACAGAATTGTCTATTTTGACGTTGAGTATCAATGTGATGATGATGGCGCTTTGGGCGGCAGAATTTTGTTACCAGAAAGGCACCGCGCGTGTGTAACGACTAAGTCCCTTCGAGCGGCTTGCAGAACGGCGCGGTATAAACGTCACGTAGCACTATCTAGCAAGCCGCAGCCAGGATTTGAACTCGCGAACCTTCCGATTGCGAGCCGTTCGCTCTCCCGCTGAGCCACCATGGGCTGTGGCCATGCGGCAACATCGAAGAGCCGAATGAAGTTGGCGCGCGGGCGATTTGGAGTTCCGATCGCGCGAAACAGGATATCGCCCCCTATTGGTCAATCGAAAGCAGGCAGATTTACTAATACTCGCCTGGTACGCGACGATGTCGTGTACAGCTTCCCATCGCTTTTGTGCGGGTTCGGTTTGTGCGATTCCGCGATTCTGTACATGCGACCATTTCACCCCAAAATTCGCTGTATTATGCGGCTTGAGGTCGCTCCGCATGCGGCTATTCGGCCGGACGTGGGACAGCGCGTGCTTAGAGAGTTTTTGGCTGCTATAAATTTCCGCGCGATAAGCCCAACTTCGTTGAGGTGTCATTTGTGATTGCCAGGTCGCTTCTGAAAAAAGAGTTGCACGGCTCAGCGGGCCTTGCCTGGCGAAAGAAAAAAATGTTTGCGTACCCTGCGGTTTCGCTTTGCGTTACACTTTCGTTTGGAGCACATACTCCTACTACTAATACCACCGCGCAGAGCGAGCGGAACCCTGTGCTGTTGGGCTGGAGCGGTGGCGCAAGCGGTTAGCGCACTGCCCTACCAACGCTAGCGGGCCTCGATTCACGGTGGCGAGCGGCGGTCTGAAACGGGGCCCCGGGCACCTCCCTTCACAACCCCGCACTGACCAGCGTGGTGAAGTATGGTCAAACAACCCCCCCCCACACACACACACACACGTATCCTACATGGCATGGCGTGGCCTTTGCTCAGCAGCGGATTGACCCATGACTATTATGTTATAATTGTGGGTGCTGACATGGTTTTGTCATGGTCAACGAAACAACCCAGAGGTGACTGGCGAAACTAAATCTCCAGTCGTGGCAGTAGCAACAACACGGGAGGTTTCTCAAATCCCACCAGCCCCCCCACCCACCCCGCAAGTTGTACTACACTGCACATGGGTCCACCGACCAATAGGGTTAAGTCGATCGGCAGGTCACGTCTGGTGGGGTAAAAGATGGGTAACCTCCCACCTCATCGAAGACATATGGCCAGTGTGGAAGAGTAGGCCAAATACCCCTGTAGAGTGGCTCTCTATAAAGGTCCCCCCTCCCCTCTAGCGGAGGCTCTCTTGCGCCAGCAGTGGGGTGAGCGAGCAATTGCAGGCGCTGCACCTTTACTGCTTCAAAAATAATCGTGTTCATGAAAAATAAGTTATTATAATTCTTGCAAGCAGAAAGAAAAAATCAGTCTTCCCGTGAACATGCAAATATAAAACTGAACATACTGCAAAATGCCATTACGACCGTTGCATGCTGCATGCGTTATCAGATATGACAAAAAACGTATCATTCATTACCAACGTTCATATGAAAGCCACGTGAAAAAAAGCACACACACACGGTAGTGTCGTGTGCTGAAGCGTGCTGAGAATCTGCGACCGCGACATCGGCGCCGGATGTCAGCTGTGTCCACAGGGCAATTCAAAACACGAGCCACACGAGGCAGGCTTCATTGATAAAAACACTACTCAACTTTTTCCGATAAAACATTTTTTACGTACAGCTCAAAAAAAATACACTGCCGCTCTTTGTACAGCGGCGCCGGTGAGAATCCGTGCAGCAATACTCCCTGGCTCCCAGTGGCGCTCGTTCCACAACTTGATTGTTTATATATGTTCACATATATAAACATACATTTATAAATAAATACAGTTATTAGACTCTCGATTATTCGCGCTAATGATGGTGCGAGGACCGCCGCGGGATCATTCGGAATCGCGGAAAATCCCAAAAAATGTTCCGTCAATTACAACTCGCAAAGAAAACGATCGGCTAAATCGCTGAAGCGCAACTGGCGCTTTCGATTGTTGCTCTGTCGGTCTGCAACGAATGCCGGCGACCGACCGACCGACCGATGCGGGTGCTTGGCAGCTCCCGCGCAGAAAACTCAGCCCCCACTTGGTGGATGGCGGCAGAGCCGCGCCAGTCATCATCAATCGAACGCCCACCAACTCGTTGCGAAGGTACGGAACTCCCGCCACCGTAGCCGTAGAGGCGGTCTCGCGTGTGGCTTTCGGATTAACCGGAGCACATTTTTTGTTTGGTTTAAAAGCACGGGACTTGCGGCGAACATTTCCAAGAAAAAGAATGTACAACTGTTTTTAGATGATTAGTTTGGGCTTAAGGGAGTAAAAAATTCCACGGGTTATTAGTTCGTGTTTAAAAAAATCTCGAGCGCGCGGCTAATCCGCAAATCGGATAAACCGCGAGCGGATAAATCGAGAGTCTACTTAATACGCACGACACAAATGAAGCAAAAACGACGACGACGACGACAACGGAGAGCCGGGCGTGCAGTTGTGCGACGCGCGGAGTCTTCGCCGGTTTACCTTATCAAATGATAGCTTTCAAGAGCGGCAAGCAGAAAGTCGACACGAGAGTTTGGTGTGAGGGAGGGAGGGAGGGGGGGAGGGAGGTAAAGAGAGACAGAGAGAGGTAGAGACAGAGAAAAAAGACGGAGACAGAGAGAGAGAGACAAAGGCGGGAAGAGACAGCGAGAATGAAAGATGTTACAAACAAATGACGAAAGGAAAAGAAGGCATTCGAAACGAACGCAACAGTGGACGTGCAAGCAAGGCCTGGCGCCGCACCCTTGAGCGGCGCTCGCTAACGCCGTGGATGAACTCGGCAGGTCCCCGTGCCCACGCTGGTGTCTGGGCTGCGTCGTGGTGAATGAACGATCTCTGCTTAGGGAAAGGAGCGACCCCCCCCCGCCATCGCCGCCGGTCACGCTGCCGGGGGGAGGGCCAATGCTCCGATTCGAGAACCGATTCTCTCATCGCAGCGCTCCTCCGAGTACGTCGGAGGAGGAAGGCTCTTTAGATATGTGAATTATTACTTTTTTGGCTCATTCGTAGCATTTAACTTCCTTGCTTCCGGCAGCGTCCGTCTCCGTCTCGTTTGTACTGTCCGTCTCGTTCGGTCCGTCTCGTTCGGTCCGTCTCGTTCGGTCCGTCTCGTTCGGTCCGTCTCGTTCGGTCCGTCTCGTTCGGTCCGTCTCGTTCGGTCCGTCTCGTTCGGTCCGTCTCGTTCGGTCCGTCTCGTTCGGTCCGTCTCGTTCGGTCCGTCTCGTTCGGTCCGTCTCGTTCGGTCCGTCTCGTTCGGTCCGTCTCGTTCGGTCCGTCTCGTTCGGTCCGTCTCGTTCGGTCCGTCTCGTTCGGTCCGTCTCGTTCGGTCCGTCTCGTTCGGTCCGTCTCGTTCGGTCCGTCTCGTTCGGTCCGTCTCGTTCGGTCCGTCTCGTTCGGTCCGTCTCGTTCGGTCCGTCTCGTTCGGTCCGTCTCGTTCGGTCCGTCTCGTTCGGTCCGTCTCGTTCGGTCCGTCTCGTTCGGTCCGTCTCGTTCGGTCCGTCTCGTTCGGTCCATCAGCCTACGGAGCACTTAAACCGTCGGGGAAATCATTTGCGGCACGGGAATAAATACGCGCGCGTGCCATTCGACGCAGCGCGCGTCGTACTCCCCCGCAAGGAGCGATATTAATCGACGAGCGTCGGCGCGCACGCCTAATGAAAAGGTCGGTCGATCCGGGAGAGAAAAAAATATATCTCTTTTGGTCAGAGCGCGGCACGAATCGGGCTCCTCGCTCGCATGACGGACAACGCCGACGATAACGACGAACGAGGGGGGGGGGGGGAGCAAACCATCAAACCCTCGCGGGGTCCGGGAGCACGAACCCTGCGACCAATGCGACGGGCGCGTTCATCCGCATTGGCGACGTTCATCATCGGCGCGGCCCCTAATTGCGCGCTGGCGGTTGCGATGATCTGGTGCCAATTTTTTTCTCTCCAATTCCCTTTTCCTCCTTTCCCCGGCTACAATGTACCCACGCTATCTGCACGGCGGCACGCGCGAGACACCAACCTCTGCACGATGAATATGGCTATGACCAGCGTGGCTGAGATGACGTCGGTCGTGATCCACATGAGCCTGTAGTCCCCAGGATTCTGGGACAGACACAAGGTGGGGGGGGTTACATAAATACAAACCTGTCGTTTTTTATATATATATAGTGGCGAAGTTCATGAAAACTGTATCTCCCAGCGTCACTGAACCTCTGAGCCACCCCGGCCACCACATCCTGGGATGCACATCGTCAACAGGGAGAGGGAGAGTGAACGAGAGCGGGAGAGAGCGGGAGAGATAATGAGAGAGCAAGAGAGTGAGACAGAGAGAGCAAGAGAGCGAGACAGAGCGAGAGAGCGAGACAGAGCGAGAGATCAAGAGAGCGAGACAGAGCGAGAGAGCGAGAGAGCGAGACAGAGCGAGAGAGCAAGAGAGCGAGAGTGAGACAGAGAGAGAGAGCGAGACAGAGCGAGAGAAAGAGCGAGTGCGCGCAAGGCGGCGCCGGCTCTTGCGAGCGTTTACCAAGCGCCACACGGGCTGGGGCAGGCGCGCCAGCGAACCGCAGTCGTTGGTGGTGACGGAGCGGGCGCCCGCGCACCACGCCATCGAGTAGATCCACGCAGAGTTCACGACGTACAGGTTCGTCGTCACGTTGTGCTCCGAGTAGTTGCTGCGTCGCGCAAGCGGCACACGGCGATACGGTTAACAACGACGGACGGACGTCGCTCATCATGGATTGTGAGCCTCCACTATCCCGGTCGCTCTCGGCTCCTCGCCTGGTTGGTTGAGCAAAATTAACTGATTCAAAAAAATAAGAATATGTTTTACCCTTTCTGGTAATAATATTCTAGATTAGAAGTTTTCGTGACTGCAAGGATTCATACTCTTTGGTTTGTTCGGTAAAGTCACGTGGGTGAAAAATTAATTATTTGAATTTTTTACCTACGTGACTTTACCGAAAAAAACAAAGAGTAAGGTGTTAAGATGTTCAAACACCAACTAGATACCTTTTGCACGTAATCAAAAGATAATTTTTTTATACTTTTGATACTGGCCAAAAGGTCCCATAAAATGTACCCGAAACAGAAACTGCGACAGTCGCACGAACGCCGCGCCAAATTCTGCGCCAACGCCGCCCCAAACGCCGCATGGAGACTGACACACTTCCTCCTGCTGGGGGAGGCCGTGCCGCCGAAAAGGGGGGCCCGCCCGCCCCCCTTGAACAAGCAGCAGAGATGGCGATCGTTGCCCCGGACCCCCCATCCTCACCCCCCCCTCCCACCTGATTTCTGGCTGGCTGATGCCACTGTAGTGGAGGTTGAGGGTCACGATCCGGTGGGCGTGGAGGTAGCTCAGCTCCTTCTTGACGCCCGTCGTCTGGCGGAACCCGGGCGCCAGGTCGAAGGCCACCAGGTCCCGTTTCTCGTCCGGAAGCCACATCATCTGCGAGGGGGCCGGGTGACGGGGCGGAGGGCGAGCGACGCGCGGACACGCTTTCGACGGCGTCTCGTTTTTCTCCCGCTGCCGCCCCCTTCCGAGGTTACCAGTGAGGACTCACGAGTGGGGGGGGTGGGGGGGTCAACCAGTGACCCTGACAGAATCAGAATATGTATCTATACTGGAGGAATCCGATGAGCTGCAAAGCTCTCATTCACAGATGTCCAGTCGGAGAGTCACGTGGCACCACGGTGGGAGAGATGTTAACTACCTCGCCTGGTGCGCAGGAGGAGGACGTGGGTTCGATCCCGACCCGGACGCCTGCTGTACATTTGGAGTTTGCGTGTTTCTCCCTGTGGTCGCGTGGATTTTTCTCCCGGTCGTCTGGGTTTTGCCTCTAAATTTAGAGTCAACGCGCGCTCCGAGTATTTGGCTGCTATAAATGTCCACGTCATAAGCCGCTTCATCGAGCTATCATCTGCGGCCAGGTCGCTTCTGAAAAAGAGCTACACAGCTCAGTGGGCCTGACCTGGCAAGATAACAATAGTTTAGTTTTATACGCAAGTTTTTTGTTTAGTTTAGGAGCTGTCTACATTTTCGCAGGGCGCTAAGTATTATAATTATTACTATTCGGAAACTGCCGTGACTTATGGAGCATAACCGTGGACCAATGACAAAGGTGAATGGAAGGGGACGCGGGGAGGTGCGCGCTGGGAAGCTGCACGGAGACCGGTGGGGGAGTGACGCGCGAAGAACCGGGGAAACAACCGCAGGTTCAGAGACACCACACGGAGCGCGAATGAACATACGTGGGCTTGTACCGGGTGGACTATGGTCAATGGATAAGACTGCCGATGGATTGGCAGCCAAAGGAGAAATAATGCAGGAGGACGACGACCACGGAGACGAAGCGATGAAGGTTGGCGAGCGAGCGAGGCAGGGAGCAAGCGAGCGCGTAAGTCGAGTGAAACTTGGATGGATGAGCGAGTGATTTGGTGATTGAGTAGGTAGGTCATTGATGAGCGAGTGAGCGGGCGAGTGAGTAGGTGAGCAAGTAAACAAGTGGATGAGCGAGCGAGCGGGTGAGCGAGCGGACGAGCGAGCGAGCGGGTGAGCGAGCGGGTGAGCGAGCGGGTGAGCGAGCGAGCGGGAGGGGCGGGAGTGTCGGTACCAGGCGGTGGGGGATGCGCGACGCCAGCACGGCCTGCACCGTCGTCTCGAGCCACGTGTCCGCGTACGGGTGGTCCCAGGGCGGCCGGCGCAGGTCAAAGATCACCGACTGGTTGCGCTGCGCTGCCAAGTGCAGCACCTGACACGCAAGAGCGCACACACGCACACACGTGAACACGCATGCGCCGAGCGGCTGCGGCGACAGCGCAGACGGGTCAAGCTCCTCGCCACCCAGACCGGCGCGGGGCGGCGGGCGGAGCGAGCCTCTCCGTCTGCAGCTCCGAGCCAGCGGTGGAAATTCCACATTCACGCAACGGGGGACGGGGAACGGGGAAAGGGAACCCCCCCCCACTACTCCCCGTACGGCCCCCCACAAGACGACTTGCTGGCGACGCTCCGCCGCGGGGGCTCATCGCCCGCGTTTGCCGCGTCGCTCCGCGGCGGACGGACGAGGGTAGAAACAAACGTTCAGATTTTGTGCCTCGCCGAGAATTCGACAGATGCACCGGTAAAACCCAACGAGACCTCGGACAGCTCGCCGACGCTCTGGTTGCTGGCGAGGGCGCGGTCGTCGGGCGACAGCGACGCCGCGGTGCCGAAGGGGTCGCTTCGCAGGAACCAGGAGCCCGCGTTGAGCGAGCGCAGCTCCGACATGTTGAAGCGGGAGGGGTGCGCCGAGGCACGCGGCTCCCCGAACACGCGCAGCGCGTCTGTCGTGCGCCGCAGGTCGGTGTCGTGCATCAGGAACGGAACGCCGTCCAGGCTGTGTGGGACGGAGGACGGGGGGGGGGGGTGCGGCGGGGTGCAGTCGTTGGCACGAGGAGCAGAGAGTCGTTATCGTCATCATCATAATCGTCATCACTGTCGTCATGATTATTGTCGTCAAACATCATTCGTCATCAACGTCGTAATGGTTGTCGTTATCGTCATTGTCATCATTGTGATGATTATCATCATCGTCGTCGTCACCCTCATCACTGCTGTCACCGTCACATTTGTCACCGTGGTCTTCATCACAATTGATGACAAGACCATCGTTGTTATGTTCATCGTCGTCATTGTCATCATCAGCCGCCAAACATCGTAGCAACACAAGCAAACAATCATCTATTCTACTCTGCAGTATCATCAGCAGCAGCAGCAGTGGCGGTGCTAACCCACCTGAGCATCACGTCTGTCTCTAGTCCCTCGCTGCATTCTGTCGCTCGCTCGAATGACATGATCGTGTTCTCTGGGGCAAGCTGCAACAACAAGACAAATATCCCCTGTGTAGCCTTTAACAGACTGTTGGGGCAAGTGCTGTTAGCGAGCACCTATGAAGGTCGGCACGGACACACGAGGGGGTTGGTGGCTAAAACCAAGCCTGGCCGCCTTTGTCTCCCGAGTGGCGATGTTTACACACCGCACCAGGTACTCATTTGAGGCAGAGTCGGCCTAGGAAAGGCCCAGGACCAGTTCAAATAAATGTCACCGGTGTTGGCCGAGAGCGGGAATCGAACTCGGGTCGCCGGGTTCGTAGCGCTAACCGCTGCACCACCGCTCCCCACCAAGCTGCAACTCGCGCACACGCACGCATGCGTGCTCACGAACACACATATCGGCACACGAGCGGGTGGGTGCCAGCGCCAAGCCCGGCCACCGTCGTCTCGTTTACACACCGCACTGGGTATTCATTTAAGGCCGAGGCGACCTAGGGGACGCTCGCAACCGGTTCAAATATTCGTCGCCGACTTTGGCGGTAAGCAGGAATCGAACTTGGGGGTCGCCGGGTTCGTGCGCGACAACTACGGCGCGCCACTGCACGCGGCCATGACGGTCCCCGGTTGCTGCGGCGCTCGCGGTTACCATGGGCGCCCCGCGGTGTCCGAAGAGTTTTGGTCGCGCCGGGAGGTCCCTCTCCTCCACGATGCAGGGCGAGCGCACGAGCAGGGGCAGCAGGTAGAGCGTGAGCAGCGCGGCCAGGTACACGAGCACGATCGACACCTGCAGGGCTACGCACGCACGAGCACGCGTGAGAGCGCACGCGCGTAGCACACGCGTGTAGCACGCGCGTGACACGCACGTGGCATGTGCGATGCTCGCAAACGCAGGGGGGGCGCTCGTGGCGCGTGCGTGCGCTCCTCACCGAGTCGATCGGTGCGGGCGAACTGGCCCGCGACGAGCCACGCCATGAGGGTGAGTCCCACCACCGCGCCGATGTGCAGGAACGGCGCCGTCGACTGCACCGGGCACGCGCACCAGCAAACAAGGCCCGTTGCCCGAAACGTCGGCAACTCCTCCACACACGCTCATTCCGCCCGAACCCCCGGAGACAAATGCCGTTCTGCGTGATGCGAACCTCACCAACCGTCAGACATTCACCGCTCACAAGCCATCAGTCAACCCACCTGACTAATACCACTCTCACCAGTCATGGAGTCACCTGACCCTCACCATTCACCAACTCACCGCACCACCCACCTGTCGTCAACTCACGACTGAGCGAGGCTACCGCCGGTCGTGACGACGCAGCTGGGGGTGGGGGTCGTTACCTGGAACGAGTAGACGAAGGTGCTCCACTCGTCGCGCCACAGCTCGTACGCGGCGACGATCAGCGCGACGAGGAAGACGAGCGACGTGCAAACGCCGACCTGCAGGTGGGAGAACGGTGGAGAAGGGGGGGGGCGGTGAACGTCGCTCACCGCCTGGCCGCGTTCGCGGCACGCGCGCATAAGCAACGGAGTTTTACGATCGGTTTAAAAAAACAACAACAGCAGCGACCACGGGTTCACCAGAGTAACTGGCGTACGCGTGCCGCGCGCACGGTGGGGTGAGGTGAGGTGAGGTGGGTGACTTGACCTACGGCAGGCATGTCCAAAGTCCGGCCCGCGGGCCAATCACGGCCCGCGGGCAGATTTCATACGACCCGCAGCTTCGGTCTTATAACGTGTTATTTATGGCTCGCCAGCTCTGTCAGAATAAATACATCATTTAAGGTATTCTATACAGTTTGCTCAATGTTATCTGACTGAATGAAAGGCAGAATTGCGTTTTTAGAGTTGTTCCCATCTGCCTGAGCGGCTTATATTTGGTTACATTGTCATTTGAAAAATAAAGGTAATTGTGACAATGAAAATTGTTTCATCACAGTGTGTGTGTTTCCACGTAACTTTTGTGGTTGAAACAATGTTAAAATAAACTATTGGCCCCCGGGCATCTTCACTTTATCAAATGTGGCCCTCTTTACAAATAGTTTGGACACCCCTGTCCTACGGGAAGCCCGGCCAGCGTTTACGAGTCCGCCAAATTGCCCTCTAAAGCAAGAGGGCGGCTATCGCGGGGTGTGGCAGGCGAGTGGCGCGCGCGAGCGCCTGCGGGGGCTGCGCGTTTAGCGTCTACCTCTCCAGAGAAAGACGCGACGACCAGGATTGCCGGAGATCGCACGCACGCACGCTTGAGCGCGGTACGCACGTTTGGGCGACGGCAGGAAACCGATGTGGAACTTCTGCCGAGCGACCGCTAGAGGTCCCCGTGGCTCTGAGAGCGAACCTCTCGAGAGCTAAACACTTTTGCTATTTTACCCGGCATGGACCACAGAGCCACGTAGGTCTATTTCAGAAGCGACCAGGCCACAAATGACAGCTCAACGAAGTGGCTTATCGCGTGGAAAATTTACAGCAGCAGCCAAACACTATCAACGCATGGTGATGTCGATTCTAAATGTGGTGTGAAAAACGGGAGGACCCGGAGAAAAATCCACACCACCACGGGGAGGGAGAGAGACACGCAAACTCCAACAATACAGACGTCAGGGTCGGGATTGAATCCACGACCTCCTGCGTACCAGGCGAGGGAGTTAACATCTCATAACCGTGGCGCCCACGGTTGGGGGTTACGGTGGGGAATAGAGATGATGGTATTTTATTTTTTTTAAGTGCTGCAACCCCCCACCCAGCACCACCGACTACTGCGTAGACCAGAAGCCACTTCGAGGGGCCTCAGAAGTAGCTTTGCGACATCCGCTTTCGCGGGCCCTTCCCTAAACGTGACGCGGGAGATCTGAAGGGGTTCTTCATCACGTGACGCTACGAGCATCTGAACGTGCATCGAACTTGGGGGAAGAAAATAAATAAAAAGTAAATAATAAAAATACCCAAAAAAGATTTTTTTTTTACGGACCGGCGCGACCGCCCACTCACCTTGTGCGTCCAGTGCATGTACATCTGCAGGCCCACGGAGACGTGGCACAGCGCCAGCACCTGTCGGGCGGCGGGCAGAGAGAGGGAACGGAAGATCACGCTCAGGCATCGACGCGCGGCGAAACAACACGCTGGGGGTCGGGGGGGGGGGTGCGGCGAAGGGGGCGACGACGCAAAAAATAAGTGGCACTGGAACGAGCGGTGACGCCGGGGCACGAACGCAGGCAGGCGAGCACACGTGGACACTGTCGTGCACGCAAGTGAAACACGTGGGGGGCACGCAGGTGAAACACGTGGGGGGCACGCAGGTGAAACACGTGGGGGGCACGCAGGTGAAACACGTGGGGGGTACGCAGGTGAAACACGTGGGGGGCACGCAGGTGAAACACGTGGGGTGCACGCAGGTGAAACACGTGGGGGGCACGCAAACACAGACGAGCTCTGCCAGCGAAGCCGGACCGACACCGACAGCCGCCAGGTGCACTTTGAGGCTAGCACGTGAAGCGTCGGAGGCTCGCCGCCAGGAGATCACGGGACAGACCCAGGTGGTGCCATGGGATGACCGACTGAGATGACCGGCAGATGCACCAGCTGTGTCCCCCTACTGTGCCATATATAGCATCCCACACACACATGCGAACAAAGACCCCCCCCCCCCCCCGACCGTGTAGCCTTCACAGACTGTAGGGCCAAGTGCTGTTAGCGAGCACCTATGAAGGCACACGAATGGCACACGAGGGGGTGTGTGGCCAGCAACCACTCCCGGCCGCCTTTGTCTCCCCAGTGGCGACGTTTACACACCGCACCGGGCAATCATTTGAGGCCAAGTAGACCTAGGGCCCAGGACCGATTCAGATAATCGCCACCGGTGTTGGCCGTGACCGTGAATCTAACTCGGGTCGCCGGGTTCGTAGCGCAACGCGCCAAACCTCTACACTACCGCTGCCCTACAAGACAAAGAGTCTAAAAGCGAGCGCCTAATTAACGCCTGCACACACACACACGGCCCTCAATCAGTCATTAGTCTGGAATCAATACGACGAGAAGTCTAATAAAGCGCTCCAGCAAATTGACTGCGTTCATTAACGCAACGCAGGAGGCGCGGGGGCCCGTGCCGCTGATGAACAAGTCAGCAAGTCAACAAGTAGACAAGCAAACAATGCGGCGATCGTTGGCGAATAGGGAACACGCGGCGCCATTCACGGGGAGGGGGATTGCGTGCTGCTCGCGCCGATATAACAACAATCTAGCAACAATATAGCCACAATATACCAACGATCTAGCAACGATCTAGCAACGATCTAACAACGATCTAACAACAATCTAGGAACGATCTAACAACGATCTAGCAACGATATAACAACGATCTAACAACGATCTAGCAACGATATAACAACGATCTAACTTTATTTCCCAGAAGCGACCTGGCCACAAAACGAGCACGATTTATTCCGTGTGTTCTCTTGCGCTCAGACCAACGGGGCGTTGGAAAAAAAAATATATATCCGGTTCACCCTTCCTGGAAAGAAAACAGGAGTTGTGCTAAGATGTTCAAACGAGTTCGCATTAACCACACACAGACGTGCAAACAAACGTAGCTCTGATAATATAAGCATCGTCTTTGAAACTGAATGGCCTACACACAAGACAATGCATTCATTATCAGAGCATGTTTGTGTTTGCATGCTCACCACAAGCACCGCGTGCGGTCAATGCAGACTTGATTTCTTGCAAAAGGTACCCATTTGGTGTTTCAACATCTCAACACACCTCCTGTTTAAAACCTACTCTTATCATACCATTTGGTTTTTTCGGTAAAGTCACGTAGGTAAAAAAATCTAATCAAATAAATGATTTAGATTTTTTACCTACGTGACTTTACTTTGCAGTCACGAAAGCTTCAAGCCTACTCTTATCTTTCATGCTTTGAGACTGGCAAAAAAAGGGTCCCATGATAATTAATATAGAAAGGGTAAAATCTATTTGTATTTTTTCAAAGAAAAAAAAATCACACCCCCCACCACCACGATCATAAAAAATTAATCAAAGACATATCAACGTCAAGTGGTTTCGCGACGAACACCTGCAGACATGCACGCACGCGGCTATACACAAAGACAGCGCGTGGCGGTGCCGGTCGTTCTGCCAGCGAGCAACTCGTCGAGGTCACCATGACGCATGGAGGGGGCTGGGACGTGGCCAGAACCACACCCGGCCGCCTTTGTCTCCCCAGGGCCGATGTCTACACACCGCGTCGGGTGCTCATTTGAGGCCGAGTCGACCTGGCAGAGGCCCAGGACCGGTTCAGGTAATCGCCGATGTTGGCCATGAGCGGGAATCGAACTCGGGTCACCGGGTTTGTTGCGCTACGACTCCCTCAAGTAGATGACGACGAAAATCCCCCGTGTAGCCTTCACAGACTGTAGGGGCAAGTGCTGTTAGCGAGCACCTACGAAGGCCGGCACGGCACACGAGGGGGTGGGTGGCCAACACCACGCCCGGCCGCCTTCGTCTCCCCAGTGGCGATGTTTTTACACACCGCACCAGGTACTCATTTGTGGCTGAGTAGACCTAGAGGAGGCCCAGGACCGGTTCAGATCATCTCGACTGGTGTTGGCTGTGAGCGGGAATCGAACTCGGGTCGCCAGGTTCGTAGCGCAGCACACTGACCGCTTACACGCTACCGCTCCCCGCGTAGAAACGCGCGCGCACACGCACACACGTGACAATCGCAAAACCTCTCATACAACCTTCAAGGCTGCAGCAACAAACACTATTTGTGAAGACCCGTCCAGACACAAAGCCGACTAACTCTGCGTTCGAAAAATAACATCCCACACGGAAAGACCGTCGAGCAGCGGCAAACGAAATCATGAAACTGAAGATCGATATTCTCCGTGCTCACAAGTTCAAAATGTACACGTCTGCAGACGGTTCGTCAAGAGAGGCGACGACAAGCTGCCAAGGCGCGGCGCGGGGAACACCGTGCCGCCCGGGACGTTGTTTTCGACGGCGCGAACACAGGGAGCGCTCGTCCAGGCGGACCCGGCTTCAAGGCGATGAACTTCAAGAGCGACGCAGCAACAAAGCGGACAGAACAACTCCGTGGCGACGAGTCCACAGTGACGCGGTGGAACCGTCCGTCGTTCCAATCGCCGTGCCGGCAGACGGAATCGAAACCGGCGAGCTCCGGATCGCAAGCCCCACCGCGTGCTGCCAACCGTCACGTGACTGTTGGCGGCTCCCCACTTTCGCTCTTCCCCCACGACCTCATTCCGAACTTTGGTTTCAACACCGCGCGACCAAACGGACATCGGCGTCTACTGATAGGGTTTTTCCCCTTTTTTCTGGCAACAAAACTGACACCTTTTGCAAAGAATCATGCTTACATTAACCACAATACTTGCAGTCAAATGCAATGTCGTACAGCGCCCGTCGCGCTGTACGACGCCGTGAACGCAGGGGGAGCTCACCAGCAGCATGACGAGGTAAGTGAGGAGCGCGATGGCGATGACGAACATCGGCACAGACCAGCTGTACCAGTAGCCGAGCTTCGAGTAGAGAAACCTGGGCGGAACGACAGCAGCGCGCGCGCTCCATTGCCCCAGCTTTGTGCGAAGTGTCGATGAGCGGGCGTGCGTGCGTCTGTGCGTGCATGTCAATGTCTGCTCGTCAAAGAAGCATAAACCACCATCACGTGAACGGCGGTCATCCTCGCAGCGGCGCTTTTTGGCTGGCCATCGAACAAAAGACGGTCACCGCATCGCGCGTGTCCGTCTGGAACGCTCTTTCCTTCCGATATTAGGAAGCCACTGGAGCTGTGCACTTGTAAATCATCTAGATTGACAAACTCATTTCTTTAGAACAGATTTTTGTGTTTAGATTGTTGTCCGATTAGCATGGTTGGCTACGTACGGTGCAATAAAAAGTTAAGTATACATACATACAAAGACTCTGTCGGCGACCAACAGGAAACCGAATCACAAGCAATGCACACCTTTGCGTGCTGCTAAATCCAGGCCGGTACGGCGCATGAAGACGGGGTCGGGCCGGCCAATCCCAGCGGCAAAATTCCCAAATTCCAGGCGACGTATACAGGAGGTCGCGGGTTCCATCCCGACCCTGTCGCCTGTATATTAGGAGTTTGCACGTTCCCCCCATGGTCGCGTGGATTTTTCCCTCGGGTCCTCTGGGTTTTCCCTCCACATTTAGAATCAACGTGCATTTAGAGTATTTGTTTGCTATACATTTCCACGTGATAAGCCACTTTGTTGAGCTATCATTTGCGACGGGCACGTCGCTTCTAAGAAAGAGCTATATAGCTCAGTGGGCCTTACCTGGTAAAATAAAAAGTTTACGCTTTATAGAACTGTAAGCAAGTGGAGTCGATTTAGAAGCCTGCCACTTCAATCGCTGCCAAAGCTACAATGTTTACCGGCATGCAATAATGGATCATTGAACGAGCACGGGGTATTTAGGAAATGACGAGGTCATAAAAAACCACTATGCCAGCAATAGCTACGGATAACATTTTGCAAAGCACTTAACGGGCAAATAGCTATTACTTAACGGGCAATAGCTATTTATTTATTTACAAATTGGAATTGCAGTGCTTTCGTCATCTGATATATGTTTATGTTAGTATGAAAATAAAACACGGGAAAAAAGTTATACAGCTACAGCAAGCACGACAAAACGACCATTTGCGAAAACGGACGATATGATTATTATTATTTTTCTCTTCCATAAGAGGTTTCTTGGGTTAGATCGCGTAAATATAAACGTGTCGTTAAACCCACCTCCACGCGACACAGCCAATTAGTAAGGTTTGTCACGTAAACAATTAGTTACTAGTTCAGCACAACGGTTGTGTTCGAGTACCGTTACGTTTCGCCGGTAATCACAACAACCAGCCTCATCAGGCGACAGCCAGAATTGGTCGCGAAAGCCCACGCGTTACAACTGCCCTTTTTTATTTTTTTCTCATTACTCAGAATTTTCTCGTCTCACTTTTGGGCTCGACTTGCAATGTGATGATGGCGCTTTTGAGTGGCACGTTTGTGGCGCCACGCGTACGTCAACAAATATAAAACGCCGACTCGACTTATAAGCTGCCAAGGCGATGCCCTGGCAGCTGCTCGCAAACGACGCTCGTGGCGGCAAAGGCCTATCGGTACCCGGCCGGGTATGGGTACGGGTAGCCGTTTGCGACCCTGGTGCAGCCGGGTACGGGTAGGCCGTGAGTCACTGGTGAGTAACCGTTTGTCACTCATTTCGGGTAGGGTACGGGTATGGGTAGGGAACGGGTACCCGTATCCGGCCTGGTACAGGTACGGGTACCCATTTGCGACCCTGGTGCGGCCGGGTACGAATACGTGTAAGGAATCAAAACCCGTTTGCGACCTCTGGGGTACGTGCACGTGCGTTCCAGCGTTAGCAGGTTTGGGGGGTGTACCCCCGATTTACCCCACCCACACCCGACCTGCCGGTCACAGACGAACTGTGGCATATACCCGCTTATACCACTGAGGCGAGCTACAAGGCAATGTTTTTCAGAAGCGACCTGGCCACAAATGATAGCTCAACGAAGTGGCTTATCGCGTGGACGTTCATAGTAGTCAAGTACTCTTAAACGCACGCCGATTCTCATTGTGAAGGGAAAAATCGGAGGACACGGTTAAAAAAATCCACGCCATCATGTAGTCAACATCTCGCCACCATGATGGTGATGAGAGAGACACGCCAACTCCAAATACACTCCAGGCGTCAGGGGTCAATATCGAACCCACGACCTCCTGCGTACCAGGCGAGGCAGTTAACATCTCCTAGTCTCGGGCGGTGGGGTGGAACCGGCGACCTCTGGGTTGCATATCCACCGTGCTGACCGCTGCTCCAGGGGTGGTGGCCCGAGCCGCGGACATTTGCACGGTGCCAACGATCGTGGCGGCGAAACGTTGCAGACCCTACCGGCGTCGCGCAAGCGAGAGGCTTTTTTTTATTTTCCTGATGACGATCGCTTGCGTTGTGATCGAAACGTCGTAGTTTTCGTTCTTTTCTTTGAACCTATCTACGCGACTGCCGAAAGACCCAAAGAATATGAATTCCTGCAGTGACGAAAGCTTTAAGTCTTGATTTAAGCGAGAGGCTCACCACTCAAAGTCGTTGTAGTCGTTGCTGGCTTGGCACCAGAAGTAGAACCAGATGGCGGAGAGAGCGCAGGTCAGGAAGACGAGCAGGAACCACAGCCTCTCCCACTGCAAGACAAAAAAACAAAGAACCCACCCGTGTAGCCTTAACAGACCGCTGGGGCAAGGGCTGTTAAGCGAGCAGCACCTACGAAGGCCGGCACGGCACACGAGGGGAGTGGGTGGCCAGCACCACGCCCGGCCGCCTTTGTCGCCACGGTGGCGATGTTTACACATTGTTGTCTAGACATCGCATCAGTTATTAATTTCAGGCCGAGTCCACCTAGGGGAGACCCGCCAAAAGCAACTGCGCCACCGCTCCTGCAGTAATTTTAAGGCCGATCAGACTTAATCCACATTGCACGCACACGGAGAAAAAAACCCTAACACATAAGTTCATGCCTATTATACATTTTTCGTGAAATTACACAAATTGCTATTCGTCGCGAATTCCACACGGATTCTCCGCAGCATTTAAATGTTTTAATATCCGCTGCAGCGGCGGAAGGAGGGAGGGGGAGGGAGGGAGGAGCCCTCGGAAGCCACTGCGCGTGAACGCGGCACGGATTTGTGTTCGCTCCGTAATCGCAATTAGCGCCCCGGAGAATGTACGAGTGGTGCGGATTATAGCGCGCCGGCATCATCGTCGTCATTGTCACGGCGAGCGGCCATCGCTTCGGGATCGCTTCTCCCGTCACACGCGATCGCTCAACGGCACGGACGCTTTGAACGCGCGCCGACCTCGCGGTTCGCGGGCGCTGGGTTCGACTCCAGAATCGAGGTTGCTAGCATTGCAGGACATCTTCTACATCAGTCATTGCCGCCGTCGATCCAGCGGCTGGGAACCGATTTATTTGCCGGGACATCTTCTTTCTCACGATTGTCCAAACCTTGGCTTCAAAAACGTATTTCCGCGGATGATGACGCTGCTGTTGCTGCTGATGACGCTGCTGCTGATGATAATGATGACGCTGCTGCTGATGATAATGATGACGCTGCTGCTGATGATAATGATGACGCTGCTGCTGCTGATAATGATGACGCTGCTGCTGCTGATAATGATGACGCTGCTGCTGCTGATAATGATGACGCTGCTGCTGCTGATAATGATGACGCTGCTGCTGATGATGACGCTGCTGCTGCTGATGATGACGCTGCTGCTGCCGATGATGACGCTGCTGCTGATGATGGTGCCGGTGAACGAGCGACTTGACATAACTTCTAACGGTGCCTGAGGAGGGGCGAGGAACCGAAGCGATACGGAACAAATGCAGTTCGGGTCCTTGCTTATAAGTTGAACTCCTCCAAATGTTGGACCCCCCCCCCCCGCCCAGCGCTGGCAAGGAGCTCCGTGGCAGGCAGAGGAGGAGGAGGAGGAGGAGTCCATCCGGCGTTCGGCCCTCGGAAGCGAGCAAGGCCCCAGAACGGAACGAGACCCCCAAAGACGATGACCCGGGGGGAGGGGGAGGGGGGTTTGCTTGGCTTTGCTCAAGCGGCAACGCCGGCCGAACAGCGCCGCGTGGCTTCACTTGCAAACACGGATCCTCGTTGGTCGGCGACACCAAAGTCATTCGCCTCCCGTGGAGAGAGCGACAATGAAGCGTAGGAGAAAGCCGGTGGAGAGGCCGCTGATGGCTAACCATGCGTAGTGTGCGTGTGTCAACCGTGCGCAAACTGCCTGTATAACCAAGGCACGCCGTCACCATCCAAGCCATCAGTTTGGCCAGGTTGCAGCCAATTAGCTCGGGTTCATCATCCCATTCCCACTGGAAACGGGGGGGGGGGGGGGCGAGTCAATGACGTCGCCACGGCTAATCGCGCCGGTTGCCAATTTAGTCGCATGTTGTTTTGCAAAACACGATCAATCGCGTCGCTGTGACGACGGTGCTCTGTCGTGACTGACGACGACGACGTCTCCAAGTCGGCTTAGCGCAGCGCTAACAGCTCCGCTGCCGCGCGTGTGTGCGTGCGCGCGTGTGTGCACGTGCGTGCGACGTTTGCTTGCCCCCCCCTCCGCTGGCGCTCGCTCGCCCACACCGACCTTGGTGGAGTCGTCGTGCGAGCGCTGGTAGCGCTTCCACCGGCAGCCGTACAGGCCGGCGAGGCATGACAGGCAGAGCTGGGGCCGGTAGTACTGCAGCGGCTGGTGCTTGACCATGGCGGCTCCTGCGAGACAAGGGGATCCGGCACACGGGATCAGCGACAGTGGGATCAGCGACAGTGGGATCAGCGACAGTGGGATCAGCGACAGTGGGATCAGCGACAGTGGGATCAGCGACAGTGGGATCAGCGGAAGCGGCATCGTCCACGCTGATGGCATCGTCGGGATCGTCGAGATCGTCGTCAACGGCATCGGCCTCGTTAGTCGTCGTCGTCATCATCAGCGGTGGCACCGTCGTTTATTAACGGCATCGTCGGGGTTATAACGAACAGCGTCACGCGTGTTAACACCATCATCATCATGAAGAGCGGCATAATTATAAACGATGTCATCATCAAGACCATCAAGAACAGTCGTCGTCAGGATTGTCATTATCATCATCATTATTATCATCATTATGAACAGCATTGGCATCATTATCAAGGCCCGCGAAATCACTTGGTCTGGCCCTGCCAAGGCAACCGCAGGCGGGACTCGAAATTCAATAAATCTCGGAGCAAACCTGGAAAAGCAGTTGCGAGTAGCAGCAACATCAATACCAGCCAACATCACACGCCTCACCAAAGAGAAGCAGTTCCAGCCATCACATTAGGGGTGAGTTAATTAAATGTTTGACCAAATATAAACAGGCTAATTTTGAAGTTGATAATTTTGTATGGCCCGCGAATGATGTTATAAATATCCAAATGGCCCTTGGCAAAAAAAAGGTTCCCCACCCCTGATCTAGACTATCATTAACAGCAGCATCAACACGGGCATCAACATCGTCAATAACAGCATCGCAAGTTGATCCCAATCTGACTACAATAGCTGCCAACTGCCCTACCGGCGTCACGTCACGATATGTTGAAACCGTTCAGAACGTTCTCGCACAGCAGCGCAGCTCGTTGCATCAGAGAAAAGGGGCCCACAGAAGCGGACATCACAGAGCTTCCTCTGAGATCGCTTCACGGTGACCTCTGGCCCACACAGCAGAGGGGGCTGCACCAGAGGTCGCAATCGGGTACCCAATACCCGTACCCTACCCGATACCCGGCTACCCGTACCCAGCCGGGTACGGGTACCCGTTCGCGACCCTGGTGCGGCCGGGTACGGGTACGGGTAGGCCGTGAGTCACTGGTGAGTAACCGTTTGGCACTCATTTCGGGTAGGGTACGGGTACCGGTAGGGAACGGGTACCCGTACCCGGCCGTGTACAGGTACGGGTATCCGTTTGCGACCCTGGTGCGGCCGGGTACGGGTACGGGTAGGCCGTGAGTCACTGGTGAGTAACCGTTTGTCACTCATTTCGGGTAGGGTACGGGTACCGGTAGGGAACGGGTACCCGTACCCGGCCGGGTACAGGTACGGGTATCCGTTTGCGACCCTGGTGCGGCCGGGTACGGGTACGGGTAGGCCGTGAGTCACTGGTGAGTAACCGTTTGTCACTCATTTCGGGTAGGGTACGGGTACCGGTAGGGAACGGGTACCCGTACCCGGCCGGGTACAGGTACGGGTATCCGTTTGCGACCCTGGTGCGGCCGGGTACGGGTACGGGTAAGGAATCAAAACCCGTTTGCGACCTCTGGGCAGCACTTTCCCACCCACTCCGGCGTACGGGAGTGATGTCCGTCGCGCGACACTCACACCGACCGACGTCTGTAATTCTCAGAGTTGGAATTTGCCAAAAATGATCCGGATCAGAATATTTATTCATACTGGAGGAGGAATCCGATGAGCTATGAAGCTCTTTTTCACAGATGACCAGTAGGGACGGGTCAGAAGGTTACAACAACAGACAGTACCAACAACGCAATAGGAGTGCAAAGTATAGGAAAGGTAAACAAATCCTCTTAAAAATATACAAATAAAACTAAACTATTTTTATCTTACCAGATAAAGGCCACCGAGGTAATGACTTATTATTCATAACACAACCTGGCCACAAACGAAGCGGCTCATCACGTGGACATTTATAGCAGCAACAAGTATAACCCGTAAAAACAAAGTTTTTTACTATAAATCCTTTATATGCATGGCGGCTAGAGTCCTCTCGTCCTCTGGCTTGAGATGGCTGCCACCTATGGGTCAGATGATTGCATGGCAGCATTAAGCAATTGGTAATTAAATATAATATTTTTGTCCTATAAAGTGTAACATTTAGGAAAAAAAAATTTTCACGAACATTAATTGTCACGCACAACGCGTCTGTGTGGAAAATTTCAGCTCGATTGGATCACGGGAAGTGGGTTAAAAAACGACCGAAAGATTTGCACGGTCCTAAGCAAGCAAGAAAGTGAACTTAATATAAAGGATTTAAAAAAGAAAATCCTGAACGAGATAAAAATAATTAAGTTCAGAGGGAAATTTTTACGCGATGGGTTTTGTTGTTGTTGTTGTTTGTTGTTGTTGCAAAGTCACCGATGGCCCGGGTTGAGACCAACAATCCCCACTGCATTTGAGAGCCCTGACCCACGAAGCACTGGGCGGGGGGGGGGGGGGGTCATCTCTGGGCTCCGACCTCCCTGCCACCCTGCCCCCCTCTGCGGTCGTGTAATTTCTTGGGTGCGAGGGGAGGAAGCCGTCTGCCCAAGGGGTCGCTCAACCCTGGGATCAGTCAGGTGGGAGTGGGGGAGCGGGGGCTACAAAAACAATTGGTGGCGAGGAGATATTGACTACCTCGCCTGGTGTACAGGAGGTCGTGGGTTCGATCCCGACCCTGACGCCTGCTGCTGTATATTTGGAGCTTGCGTGCCGGTCTCTTCCCTCTGGTTGTGCGGATTCGTCTCCGGGTCCTCTGGGTTTTTCGCTCCACATTCAGAATCAACGCCACACGTTTAAGAGTATTTGGACGATATTAATTTTCCGCGTGTCGACGAGCCACTTGGTTGAGCTATCGTTGGCGATGGCCAGGGTCGCTTCCGAAAAAAAGAGCTACCCAGCCCTCAGTAGAGGCGAGGCCCTGCCGGATTGTTCCTCGACGCCGGAAATGTCACCGCCCATTCTGCAGAAATGTCAACTCTTTTCGGTATCGATTCGCCCTCCCTCTTGTTTTTAAATGATATCCGCTAACCTCTGCCGGGCTCAACGCACATGTGACTCGCCGCCGACTTGAGACGTTTATTATTTTCCCGACAAAGGGAGCGAGAATGTGCGACGGCACCAAAAAAGGCGCGGGTCATCGCGGTGTAAAAAATGTACAATCGTGTGGTGAACGTCAAAGTAGCGTTCATTTTCGTCACCGTTTAGACGTTGCTGGAACGAACACCATGATCATGGTCGTCATCGTCAATGATGTGACCATCATCAGACATCATTGCCATCGTGATCGTGATTACCATCACAGTCATCATCAGTGTTGTCGTCATTACCAGTCACATTAGTCACTCATTTGTCCGTTCGAACTTTTCGATGCGTGACCCCGCCATCTGAATTATTATTATTATTTGGCGGGGGTGGGAGTCGCGGTTCAATTGAGGGCAGAAAAAATAAACGACCATCTCGTGAAGATTGTTTCTCGTTTGTTCTCATCTCGTTTTTGTAAAATCTCATTCCACTTCAGCTGCCGACGTTTATAATTTGTGTAACATTCGCATCGGCCATTTGTGAACCGCACAGCGCGGCGCTCCACATGACAGTGAGAGAACGCCAGCGTTGGATTTTTTTTTTGCGGGAATTTTCCTTCAAGTGGCCTTACGGTAATTATCATTACTATTATCGCCCCTCCGATTAGCACGTTTGGCTATGTACCAGAGGTGGGACAAAGTCATTGTTATGCAAGTCCAAGTCGAGTCTGAAGTCATCAAATTCATGACTCGAGTCTGACTCGAGTCCAAGTCACATGACTCGAGTCCACACCTTAGAGGTGGGACAAAGTCATTGTTATGCAAGTCCAAGTCGAGTCTGAAGTCATCAAATTCATGACTCGAGTCTGACTCGAGTCCAAGTCACATGACTCGAGTCCACACCTCAGAGGTGGGACAAAGTCATTGTTATGCAAGTCCAAGTCGAGTCTGAAGTCATCAAATTCATGACTCGAGTCTGACTCGAGTCCAAGTCACATGACTCGAGTCCACACCTCAGAGGTGGGACAAAGTCATTGTTATGCAAGTCCAAGTCGAGTCTGAAGTCATCAAATTCATGACTCGAGTCTGACTCGAGTCCAAGTCACATGACTCGAGTCCACACCTCAGAGGTGGGACAAAGTCATTGTTATGCAAGTCCAAGTCGAGTCTGAAGTCATCAAATTCATGACTCGAGTCTGACTCGAGTCCAAGTCACATGACTCGAGTCCACACCTCAGAGGTGGGACAAAGTCATTGTTATGCAAGTCCAAGTCGAGTCTGAAGTCATCAAATTCATGACTCGAGTCTGACTCGAGTCCAAGTCACATGACTCGAGTCCACACCTCTGCTATGTACGGCGCGAAAGTAGTTCGAACAGTAGCCGTCACGCTTACGTAAACACTCTGCCTAATGAGATGGTCAGAAAGGGGGCCGCAGAAGAGGATATCACAGAACTGCCTCTGAAAACTCAAAGCGAACTCTTATCCACAGCAAGGGGCAAGACTTTCCTGCCCGCTCTGCTTCATGAGAGTCATATTCATCGCTACGACAATCAATACGATTTTTTTTCTCCTCATATTTTCAGACCTGGATTTAAGCCCAAATTAAGTGTACAACCCAGTTTAATCGTTTTCTTGTTGTTGTTGTTGTCGCAGTTATAGCCAGCTGTATTGAGACCACCGCTCGCTACACTTTCATCACGGGCGGCTCGGACACTGGTCTCTCGGTGGCGTGCAACTCGTCGTTCGGACCTCCGAGGCCACTCGACTCCACATTCTCGGCCGGTCGGTTCACCGAAATAAAAAGGATCGACCTTTCTCCCGGGGGACTAAAACGGGAGCAGAAAAACAAGCAAATTCTTGGCCGCTCAATTCGGATCGCACGCCCACGCACACACACGCCTCGGGTGGAGACGTTCGCTGGGTAAATGAGCGCGAGAATAAAAAAGACGGCACGTGGACGACGCACCGCCAACGGCGCCAATCGACACCAGCTGGTTGAGAAAGTAGTCGCCGCCCGCTCTGAGCCGCGGTGGCTAGGAGACGTTAACTACCTCGCCTGGTGTACAGGAGGTCGTGGGTTCGATCCCGACCCTGACGATGCCTGCTGTATATCTGGAGTTTGCGTCTCTCTCTCTCATCACCATCACGGTGGCTAGGAGATGTTAACTATCACGCCTGGTGTACAGGAGGTCGTGGGTTCGATCCCGACCCGGACGCCTGCTGTGTATTTGAAGTTTGCGCGCCGGTCTCTCCTCGTCGTCGTGTGGATTTTTCTCTGGGTCCTCCAGGTCTTTCCCTCCACATTGAGAGACTCAATGTCACGCGTCGAAAGAGTGTTTGGCCACCGTACATTTCCGCACGGTGATGAGTCACTTCGTTGAGCTATTGTTTGTGAAAGCCAGATCGCTTCTGAAAAAGAGCTACAAAGCTCGGTGGGCCTGAACCTGGTAAAAATAAAAAATAGTTTCATAGGTTTAGCTTTCGGCCGAGGACCGACACGCAACAAAACTCCTGCCGATGTGCCGGGCGCGTCACCCGAGGTAGCGTCGCCTCGCCAGCATAAAAAAAGACACGGCGGCAAGACACGGCGGCAAGACCCGGCAAGCCAACGCGTATCCCCCGGGGGTCACGGGAACCCGGCATGCCGGCTGCAAGCGAACGCAGCGAAGAGGAGGGGGAAAGGGTGAGGGAGGGAGAGGGTTAAATAATGTAACTGACGGCAGGAACGAAGGAGCCAGGATGAGATTTGATTGCCCGAGAGGGGAGGCCGTTGTCGAGGCTCAGACAGAGATTATATTCCGGTGCAAAACAAATTAGGCGGTGCTTGTGATGTTGTGTAAACCTGTCTGGCGAGATCTAGCCCGCACCAACTGTGTGCACTTGAACACAGTGGTCAATAGAAACCTGGGTACAGTATTTTAATAATGCATTGCTTTGAAAAATCACACACGACCCGGTATCATTTACAACAAGCAGCGCACCCTGGGCTTGACTCATCGGTTCACAGCAGCTAAACTTTCAGAAGGGACGACAACGGGAACATTTAAATCGTGCCGTTGTTCGGGGAAAAATTGAGGGAAGCGGTAAGAGAGGAAGACCTAAGAGATTGGTGCGAGAAAGATGTGGCACCACTCGACCAGATTTGGCACACGGCAGAGGAAAGTGGGCTTCAAATTTCGAAATGTGCGGTGGGCACCTACGAAGCGAACCGCCCATGGATCGTGATGACGATGACGAAACTTTTAGCCCCGAACGATGGAACCAAGAGCCTTTTGGAACGTCGACATTCGGAGCAATTCGCAGAAAATGCACTCAAACAGACAAGCGACAGCGGGGCAAACTGGCTCTCGGTGCCAGGAGCACCGTCGATGACGGCCAAACGATCGAGATTGGTTCTTGCGGCGCCCGAGGGGCCGGGCGGTGGAGGGTGCATCTTATCGCTTGGAGTAAAGGACTCGCTCGCTCACTCCTACCCACCTCCACAAAGACGAAGATCCCCCCCCCCCCCCCCCCCGCCTGTAATAGACTGTCGGGGAAAGTGCTGTTAAGGGAGCACCCATGAAGGCGGGCACGGCGGTCACACGAGGGGGTGGGTCTCCAACACGACGCCCGGCCGCCTACGTCTCCCCAGCGGCGATGTTAATACCAGCTATTCATTTGAGGCTGAGTCGACCTAGGCGAGGCCCGGGACCGGGTTCAGATCGTCGTCGCCGGCGTTGGCCGCGAGCGGGAGTCGAACTCGGGTCGCCGGGTTTCGAGGCGCAGAGCGCAAACCACTACGCCGCCGCTCCCCCACGAACCTCCACGCACCAGCCAGGCAGCTCGCGAACATCAAAGAAAATGGCAACACACACGTGGCCGGTGAGAGTGCCTCCGCCCCGTGGACGGGAGATAAGGTGGTACGGGGCGCTGCGAAGCCCTTTCATCCCACCGCCCCCCACCAACCCCCCCCCCTCACTGTGATGCACGCCACGTTCCGAGGCTCCGTGTCGTGTCCGCACGTTAACCCTTTTCCCGTCCCGAGACGTCCGTGCAGTCGCAGGGAGGGGTGTCCCGTTCACGACTGAGTCTCGGAACCCGCGAGCGGCTCGGCGTTGTTTACAAAGACGTCGAGCTCACCGCAGAGAACCGTAGCGACACGACCGCCGCGCTCTACGACAGCTGGCGCCAAACTGTGCCGCATGCCCTCCGGAGTGGCCATTTCAATTCCGATTCTAATCGTGTGTATATGCGTCAATCTTGATTTTAAGCTTTTGTGACTGTAGGAATCCATACTCTTTGGTTCTTCACGTAGGTAGAAAAAAAACTGCCTACTTCAGCAGTTTTTTTTTGCTGTGGTTGTCCCACCTGATGACGATTGCTTGCGTTGCGATCGAAACGTCGGGATCTATTATTGTTCTACCTACGTGACTTTACGGAGAGAACCACAGAGACGAGATAGTTGTTAATCGGATTTCCACCCAGAACATCAGCAGTGCTGGCTGAGCGCTCTGACACTTTCAGCTACCAGGCCACACGTAAAAAAAACTAAACAGGACAAAGTTACGATGATACTAAAAGTCAAGTTTACAATCTCGTAACTCACCGCCATATAAAACACACAAACACACACAGGTAACCCTTCTCATGTTACAAAGGTCACGTAATGAAAATTGGGAAACTTCATTATCATATTAAGAAACACATATGAAGGGGGGGGGGGTGTAATTTTTAAGGTAATTATATTTTGAAATAAGTTTAACACGTAGGCTTTCGCGGTAAATATCATTCATAATACAGTTTTTTTTGGGGTTAGATCGCGTACATATATAGATAGTAAATGTTGTGGCTTTGCTCTCCAACACACCGGTGTGCTGTACTTGGGGGTTATTTGACCCTACTTGACCAAAGTCGGGGATGCGTAGACGTGGCAGCATAGGAGTACAACAATTAAAATCACCGCACTGCTTCGCTCCGAGTAACAACACCCCCCCCCCCGCGCGCACACCCCCCGTGGTCTATAACACCTGGTATGCATGCACGCATGCATGCTCACCACCTAAGCACTCTTCCAAGGCTCAAACAGCCTGCTTAGCTTATGAGATGTGACACGGTCGGGCACATTCCAATCGTAGCTCTCTTAACCACCTCAAGCGCGCCGCGTGGAAGGCGTCTGCTCGAATAGCACAGTTGGTGGTCACGTGCGATGCATGTGTGTGTGTGTACCTGTGGTGAACGTCTTCTTTCACACCGTACACAGATAACCGTGCTAAATCGGTGGTGCGAAAGAAGTTCAACGTACATACACGCTCCATAATAAAGGTTTTTTGGATTAGATCGCGTACGTATAAATGTGTCGTAACCCTCCAACAACCGACACAGCCAGTAAGGTTTGTCGTGTAAACAATATAAAGACTATTGAAATTGTAAATGTTGTGGATTTACTCTCCAACACACCGGTGGGCTGAAGCAGTAACTAAATTGGCGCGTTGTTTACGTGACAAACCTTACTGGTTGCGTCGGGCGGTGGAGGGTTACGACACATTCTCATACTTACCCGATCTAACCCAAAAACCTTCGTTATGAATAATTTTGGCCGCGAAAGCCTACGTGTTAAACGTACACACACGCTACGCACGGTGCGAAAGAAGGCCTACAAACATGCGTACGTACGGTCGTGGAGCGGTGAATACGCGGTCCGACTTCGCGTCTCCGAGGCCAACTTTCCAGTCCTCATTCCTCACGGGTCGTAACAAAAATAAAAATTCCGCTCGCGAGTCTCCACAACAGTTCTCATCGCCGTGACCCCGCCCGGTGCCGCGTTCCGCTGCGTCGTTGAGCGAGCAAGGGGCGTTCCGATGATGTTCGCGCAAAGACTGCGAGCGAGCCCATCGTGTGTGCAAGTTGAGCTGCTTTCGCAGCGCACGTAGCCAACCGTGCTAATCGCAGGTGCGGGGGAAGGACAACACAACTAAACACAAAAAGCCGTTTACGCTCCTTGACGAGACCAGCGATTGTATTGCTGTTCGCTTGTTGCCAGCGCACAGGTTTGTCCGTGTGTGCGTGTCAGTCGACCCGTGGCACCTGGGTCTGCCCCGTGACCCCCTGCCAGCGGGCGTTCGACACTTCACGTGGCCTCAAGGTGCACATGGCCTGGCACAAGCGTCGTGGTGACGTCACCGCCACTTAGTGGCGAATGGCGGGTTGTTGTTGTTGTTGTGTGCGTGTGTGTAAATGAGTGCGGCCTCCCAACGTATTCGTTCGGTGGGGGGGGGTTCTTCTCAGGGGTGACTTCAGGAGCAGGAGCGCTTCGGCCGTCTCCCACGGACACGGAGCGCGCGGCACGACGGCGCGCGAGTTTGGCGTGGAACGTTTCCAATAAACGTGGTGGGAGCCGTCAAGGCGCGGCCAATTTAGCCAGCGATGGATACGGCGCAGTTTGAAATGCAATAACGAGTGATTTTAGATTTTTTTTTTTCATTTTAATAACCAGCTAGTGCCGGGGATATTTTAAGCTCGGCTTATTAAAAGAAATGTTCTACCTGTTGCAAAAAAAAATTAACAAGCAAAAAAAAAAATCGATGGCCAAAATGAATTAACTTGAGGCAGAAGATTAAAATTGATTAACGTGGCATTGATCCGCGCATTCGTTCATGTGGGGGGAGTGGTGGCGCAGTGGTTGGCGAACAGTGCTACGAAACCCGTGACCCGAATTTGATTTCCCGGGCCACAACTGACACCGGTGACAAGTGATGTCTGAAACTTTCCTGGGCCTCGCCTAGATTAACTCGGCCTTAAGTGACTCCCCGCTGTGCTGCGTAAGAACACGAACAGCGGGGAGCCAAAGGCGTTGGTTGCTCGCCACACTGGTTAGTGCCTCCCTCCATCTTCCTCTCTCTCCCCTCTCTACTCCAAAGACAAAAATCCCCCATATAGCATTAACAGAATTATGGGGCAAGTGCTGTTCGCGAGTAGCAACTATGAAGGCCGGTACTGTGACACACGAGGGGTTGGGTGGCCAGCACCACGCCCGGCCGCCTTTGTCACCCTAGTGGCGATGTTTACACACCGCACCAGGTGCTCATTTAAGGCCGAGTCGACCTCGGGGAAGTCAACATGCGCACACACATTTAACTGCACACACACACACACAGCGTGATACACACTCACACACAGTTATTGACACACTTGGTGGATTGCATTCACAATCACGTGCCATACACACAACAACGACCCGTGGCCCAACATGGCATCGGTCACGCACAGCAGGGTCAACCGCAGTTGCGTTTGCACGTTTTAGGAACACAAATGCCAAAATAACGCAGGTTGCTTTAATGCAAAGATAACACCAAGACAATATTACACAGGGCAGATCATTTGGTGGTGGTGCTGCTGCTGCTGCGTTTCCCAGTGGTGCACAAGCAACAATGGTCAAAACACCGTGCCTTTAAGAGGGAAAAAACCAAACGCATTATGAGCCAACGTTTTGGGCAATGGACCTTCTTCACAGCACGTACATCCATCGGCACACTCCAGGGGAGGCAGTGCTACTTGGTTGTGGACGCGACGTTACTCAATGGTCGCGATAACCGTAATTGCAATCAGCGGTCGCATTTGTTGACGCCGGAAAGCTGCGAGCGTCACGCGCTGCCTTGCCAAATCAGCGGTAACCAACTCCAGCCGTCGCACTGCCGCTTACGACAATCGCCGACGTCAGCGCGAGTTTTTGGATTTCGCGCGCCGGAGAGGCCTGGCGGCGCACCTCCGATTAGCGCGGCTGGCTGCGTACGGTGCGAAAGAAGTTCAACGGACGCGGACACGTTGCCGACGCGCGCTCGCTCGCTCGTTCGCGACACCGTCACGATTTTTCACGCAACGAACTGCTAAGCGCTCGCGACAAAATAGGTCACCCTCGCTCCTCCCCCACCGCAGTAGGCGCAGAGCCGAACCGAGCCCGGCGTCGCGTCCCTCTCGCTCGCTCGTTACCCACCCAGACGCACAGCGACGGCACTCTGCGCGAGAAGGTTGCAACAAATATTAATTGGCCGTTTAAAATAAAGAAAAGCCATACAGCACGGCTGAAAGGTTCGTTATAGGAGAATGAAAAGAATTGCTAATTCTGGCCCGGGGTTTCTGCTCGACGGCAAACACCCCCCCCCCCTCCTCCGCATCGTTCGCTCGCTCCTCTGCCGCCTCCGCCGCCGCAGCGAACTGTAAACTCCTTCGTGTTATGTAACCACGCAATTACGTGCCTGCGCCAGCCAGCCTCGGTATGGTTTGGGCGGTCGGGCGGAGGGAGGATGGGTGGGCCTCGCTCACCACCAAAACTCGGGTTTTCACGGTCAGACTCCAGGGTAAGGTGGGAAATGTTTCCGACGCAGTGCGGTAATCGCATGCCCTCCGCCGGACGGCGTGGAGGTCACGAGGTCGAGAACGTGCGCGGGGGGGGGGGGCAAAGCGATGCGAGGCAGTACAGCAAGGAGGTTACGCATTAAGTTCGCGTGCACTTCACATGGATGCTTGGGTATTTTCTAGACGCCACAGTTTCCTCCGATGCGCGTATAACAAAAAGGTAATTGGACAAAAAAGCTCTTGAAGACAATGATTAAAAAAATATGTACATTTTTATTAGAATTAATTAATAATGTGACGTAACAATGTAATTTATTTACCCAGAAAAGTGTCACCGAGTCTCAAGACTCTTTTGCCAGGAGGGTCCTGCATTGGGATGTGTGGCCGGTTCCACTGATGAGTGCTACTCGGGCAAAGCCTGGCCACGACGCGGCAGCTGCACCAAAATACGTTCGCGAAAATCACCTGCAGGGGAATTCACCCAAAACATTCGCCAACTCACGATGTCTCCCATGGAAAATCAGCTACGAGCTCTCGGGGTGCCACGGTGGCGAGATGTAAACTACCTCGCCTGGTATATAGGAGGTCAAGCGTTCGATCCCGACCCCAACTCCTGTGTATTTTGGGTTTGCGCATCTCTCTCCCCGGGGTCCCTCGGCTTTTCCCCTCCACATTTACAATCGACGTCCACGCGTTTTAGAGCATTTGGCTGCTTTCAATGCCCACGTGATAAGCCACTTCGTTGAGCGATCATTAGCGACAGCCAGGTCCGCTTCTGAAAGCTCTCGCTCAGTGGGCCTCACCTCAAGAAATAATTTTAAAAAAAGTTTAGAAGCTTCATTCAAACTCGCCGTAAACCCAAACGGCTGTTGGCGACAAGCACGCGGTCCACGACGCCAATCGCCGGCGCTAGCGTCCAGTTTCTCCCAAGCTGTGCGCCGTCGCTCGCAGACCTCGCCCCGGCCGATCGGGCTCACTTTGCCGAGCCGCGGACGGCGGTGCACCGTGGCGTCGAAGGCCGCCCCCCCCCAACCCATCGCGCCGCTCTACCGCAGCCACCGCTGGGCGCACAACCGCTCCGTGTTGCTGCCGTCCTGGCGGCTCCCTTGATCGCGACTGTCGCCGCGCGGCGTAATAATTTCCCCCCCCCCCCCTCCGTTGCTTAATCACGCCACAAGGTTGCCGTAATCGGCACCGCGGCCTTTGTACCCCCACCCCCGCACCTCCCCTGCTCGCTTGTGACGCGAGCCGGTGGGAGGGGGGCGGCCCGACAAGAGGGCGTCGTTGTCCCCCCCCCCCCCCCCCCCGTGTGAGAATTTATTTAATGATAAAATAATAATGGTCACAATTGTAAAATTCCCGCGAGCCCAAACAAAAGGGCAGGATGTGAATGAATTGCCGGATTAAAATGGGACCGTGGGCAGCGCATTCGGGGAGGCTCTTGTATGCCCCAGCGGCTGGCGCGCTCAACCGTTGCACCACTTGGCACAAAATCAAGGATTCAGCTCCCATAGCGGCCGCAAGCTGGCCACGTAGCTCTGCGTGGCGGAGTTCTGAGTACCATCCACTTGGACCAAGCTGGCCACGTAGCTCTGCGTGGCGGAGTTCTGAGTACCATCCACATGGACCAAGCTGGCCACGCAGCTCTGTGTGGCAGAGTTCTGAGTACCATCCACTTGGACCAAGGTGGCCACGTAGCTCTGTGTGGCAGAGTTCTGAATGCCATCCACTTGGACCAAGCTGGCCACGTAGCTCTGTGTGGCAGAGTTCTGAGTGCCATCCACTTGGACCAAGCTGGCCACGTAGCTCTGCGTGGCGGAGTTCTGAGTGCCATCCACTTGGACCAAGCTGGCCACGTAGCTCTGCGTGGCGGAGTTCTGAGTACCATCCACTTGGACCAAGCTGGCCACGTAGCTTTGTGTGGCGGAGTTCTGAGTGCCATCCACTTGGACCAAGCTGGCCACGTAGCTCTGCGTGGCGGAGTTCTGAGTGCCATCCACTTGGACCAAGCTGGCCACGTAGCTGTGTGGCGGAGTTCTGAGTACCATCCACTTGGACCAAGCTGGCCACGTAGCTGTGTGGCGGAGTTCTGAGTACCATCCACTTGGACCAAGCTGGCCACGTAGCTGTGTGGCAGAGGTCTGAGTGCCATCCACTTGGACCAAGCTGGCCACGCAGCTCTGCGTGGCGGAGTTCTGAGTGCCATCCACTTGGACCAAGCTGGCCACGTAGCTGTGTGGCGGAGTTCTGAGTACCATCCACTTGGACCAAGCTGGCCACGTAGCTGTGTGGCGGAGTTCTGAGTACCATCCACTTGGACCAAGCTGGCCACACAGCTCTGTGGCGGAGTTCTGAGTACCATCCACTTGGACCAAGGTAGCCACGCCCCTCTGCGTGGCGGAGCTCCGATCCACTCACCAAACAAACGAAAGAATCGGATCGTCAAACAA